TTGCCTTTTGTTAGAAATCAGCCAATGCAATTTGAGAATACTCTCTTCATTTGGGACCACTGTGCCTCCTGACCAAATTAGTTATAGTCAGCATTATTGTGGAGCAGTTAAATGTGGACAAATATATGGATTTTGACAAAAAAATCGAGTGCAAGTAGAGTTACTGTTGGAAATCTTTGCGTGCAGTTTCCGACCTTGTATTAATATAAGTAGGTTAAACAATGGCATATCAAAAATGGCGTAAAACCTCTTAAAAACGAAAAGATCTTCAACCAGGAAGGTAAGAGACGTTTTATTTATGTTAGAATAATATTATTTAGGCAAAAGTAAAAAAATAAAAAATGTGCGGACGACATATTTTATTCTAAGTTATTGAGGCTGGGTTACCTGTGGTATTCTTGTTTTCTTTGCAAATAATTTTTATTATTCAAACTCAATTTTTTTCGCCCATCAACATTGAAATTTATATTGTTTGCTTAATAATTGAACTCCAAGTTTTCTTAGGGATTTAGTTGTTATTGTTTTTTGACACTTGCGGTGGTTTTATTTGTTATTCGAATCCAGATGTAGCGCTTCTGGTCGTGGCACCATTTAACCATTTACTCATAGTTGTAGCTCGAGTTGCATTCATCTCACCGGCGCTCGCTTGTGTTTATCCAGAACCGAAGTTAAATTATAAAACTATATTCGTAAATCGTTTGTTTAAAAAAATTTGAATTCAGCGAGAATTATTTGACATCGATTTCCCGGTCATTCCTTGTTATTTTGCGACACTTTGCCTACCGGAACAAAATGGCGGCCGAAACCGTTACCTCATCTATTGATTTGCGAAGCACGAATGACAGCGAATCAACACTCAAATACATGCGCTATTTTTACTCAATTTGATGAAAATTTATTCATCACTCGTCATAAATTATCCTCTCATTCTTAACTATTTCATAGAAGGTAGAAAAGTCGATATTCTCAGAGAATTTCAAGCCAGTACCTTTAAGTAATGCATAGAAAACACGTTTTTTTTTTTGATTACTTACTTTGGAGGTCGCCATTTTCGGTCTTGCTTTGATCGGAACAGACGCGAGAAAAAGCGAAAAAAAATGCCATTAGTATCGTCTTTGCCTCAAAAGACGGCAAAAAAAGACAGAAAACAGCTTTTCTCACCTGTTTGTAAACTTGGAGGTAATCGAAAAGTATTTGTTTTGATAGCCGATTGTTTTGTTTATGTTTTTTTTTTCGCTTGTAACTTTGTAATCTCCCGCGAGAAATAGTTTGCATACCAAAATCGCTGGTATCAAAGCACGTGACTAAGTCCTGCAAATGGCCTATTCCAAGATGGAAAGGAAAGAGTGGTGGCCTATTACAGCGCAACGTTGTCTAAAACTGAGCGTAACTACTGTGTTACAAGGAAAGAGCTACTGGCAGTCGTCTCTGCAGTAAACAAGATCCACCACTACCTCTATGGGAGGCCGTTTCTCGTCAGTCGTCAGTCGGCCTATGCCTATGGCTACAATCCTAGACAAAATTGAATGGGACAGAAAGCTATTCCTGCGCTCTAACAGATGCATTATTTTATAGAAACAGTTATGTAAAAAGATAAATTTAACACCGTAAAAAAGTATGTGGAAAAACTTACTGACGTTTCGGATGTTAATCCTTCGTCGGAGTAAAGATCATACTTTTTTACGGTGTTAAATTTATCTTTTTACATAACTGTTTCTTTAGAAACACCGACGCAGCTCACACTAGTTTACCGCTAGTTCCCACCATTCTTTTATAGGCTGTTTTAATGCTTACTCAAAGCCTTCCCCCTAACCCCACAGTCAATGTTGGTTAACAATGTTGATGGCGGGAATTTTTCGGTATGTTTCGAGCCCAACATTGGAAATGGGGGGGCCACGGGGGGAAATTGTCTGCAAGTTTTAGTAGACATATATAGACATACACTTTGTTCCATGATTTTTTTTTAAATTGTAGCCCGAATGATTAGATTTGGCAACAAAATGTACGTAGATTGTCTTTCCACAACAATTGAGAAAAGTTGTCAAATGTTATCACTTCAATGCAAAAAATATGTTTTTCTATATACTACCCATCGATAGTCCTTAGGTAGTGAACAAACACTAAAACTGTTCAACATAAATACCACTAAATACTGTTAAATTATGCTATTCTACTGTTTAATTAACACTACTTTGTAGTAAGTAGTGGAAAGTGTTGCACACATTTAATGTTTGTGCTCTAGCATGGAATCGTGATATAGTTGATTTGCATGAAAAAATATGAATTCTTGATTTTCAATTGCTGATGTACCAAAACACTCCAGTTAACAAAGCGTCTTTCTGGTCACAAAAACTACTTGTTGTCGATTACTCTAAAAGGTCAATCTAGACGATACAACGTTTGCCTATCACCTATCGCATGCAATGCACCTAATCATCATTACAACATAGCTACAACTGTCGTAGAGATAAAAAAAACAATTGTTTGAAAACCCTACGACAGTTGAAGCTATGTTCTGAGGATGACTTTGCCATGTTGCATGCGATAGTTGTAGGCAAAAGTTGTACCGTCTAAATAGGCCTTTTAAAAGGATTATTTAAAAAACACATTTTTGGAACTTTATGACAGCAAAATGCATGTTTCAGAAATGCTCTGTACCCATAGTATACTTTCCAAACTTGATAGGAGAAACAAACCCTGTTACATTTTAGGAGATTTTAATATTGACCTTTTGAAATACAATCAATGCAACTTTTCAACTCAGTTTTTAATAGGCTGATTTATATCTTCGGTATATCGACATTTAATCTCAAAACCAACTCGTATTACGGATAAAAGCTTTACACCTGATTGACAATATTTTTACAAATAATGATCTTGCTGAGTACTTTTAAGTGCTTTAAAAACTTTTAAAAGTGGTAACGTGATAAAACTTTTAAAAGTGGTAACGTGATAAATGATATCTCCGACCATTTACCAATTTTCACTATCACCAAAGAATTGATCAATCATGCTTCACCAAAGGTTAACGGCAATATATACTCGAACTACCACAAGAGTCATCAACCAGCATAGACTCAATGCATTCTGTAATGCAATTCAATCCTACTCTTGGGAAAAGACGTATAATGAAGAAGGTCCTCAAAAATCATTAGAATATCTTTATCGGATTTTTGTGAAGCCTATAACAATTGTTTCCCACTTAAGACAATCAAAATCAAAAATAAATCCAAGTATAACCCCTGGTTAACACAAGGGCTTGAAAGATCATCAAAAACCAAGGAAAAGCGTTATAAAAGGTTTCTTAAGAAACCTTCTAAAGAAAATCATAAAAATTATAAATTATACAGGAATAAGTACAATCATCTCATTACGGATAGCAAAGAAAAATTATCATAATGAAAAATTTAACAAATTCAGCAAATGATCCTAAATCAACTTGGAAAGCGATCAATGAATTATTATGTAAAACTAAATCACAAAAAAACACTTGCATCTACTTTTGGTTGTAATGGAAAAGTAATAAATGACCCAAACATAATCGCAAATAAATTTAATAAGTTCTTTACTCAAGTTGGTCCAAATCTTGCAAAATCGTTTAAAAAAACAAATGATTTTGAACAGTACTTAAAGGGTGATTATAGAAATTCAATTTTTATTTACGAAATTACATGTGACGAAATTATAAAAGTAATTAATACATTAAAAACTAAAAATAGTTGTGGAATAGATAATATTAATACAAAAGTAATAAAATACGTGGCTCCCATGTATTCTCTCAAGAAATGACCATTGAATGTGTAGTACCCCAGGGCTCTATTTTAGGACCACTTCTATTCCTGATATACATAAATGATTATTCCAGTCCCAGTGCCTTTTCGACCCTTTACGGTTAACGGGCCTCTCGCGGGGAAAAAGGTCCAGAAGAACTTGCATGCGCATGCGCCGGCATACACCAATAAAAAACGAGTTGGGGAAAACTTATTATTATTTAACTAAATGACAACTGCAAATGAGGAAAAATACTTCCTTGTTTTAATGGCTTGATAATCTTTCTAAGTACTTGAAGATTATCCTTCGCATGGAGATAATATCGAATTTTTTATTTACATGTGTAAGATTAAGCAAACTTGATCGAACACATCATCTAACAAACGACATTTACTGAAATGATTACGATTGTTCCATGCAGTGAACAGTGAGCTTCGTCGACAGCAACACATACGATGTTATCTTATGCTGTCTTTGACCTCTCTGGAGTTGAAACTCTCGGGGATCAACATTAACACATTGTAGTCGGTGAAATCGCCGTTAGTCGCTTAGACTATCTTAAATTTGGCTGCATTTATATCAATTACTATTTATAGGATAGTATATATATAGTTCATAGCTGAGTAAAAGTAACTCACAACTTCTTCCATTGCTACAAGCGATTAAAACTTCATTTCCAAATTTCCCACCACCATCCCCATCTCTCCATCCTGTGTTTTAACGTGAGATAAAAAATATTTTCTCTCTGTATAAGTATTACATATTATATGCGCAACATATGTCTTATGTATATAGTGTTGAAAGGTCTGAACCCAGGTGAGTGCATGAATGTTTGTCGAAGTAACATGTACATTAAGATCATCCGGGTGGATGTAGTTCTGAGAAGAACTGTTTGTTGCGACTGACGTTTCGACCACCTGTGCGGTAATCATTTTCAAAGTCAAGTTAGGATTTTAGCCCTAATTCTTTATATGCTAATCAATAGGTGTTACGTATTTAGCGGTACCGCGCAGGCGTTTCTAGCGGTATAGGTCCTATTCTGTGTTGGCATTGCTTAAGCAGCCCGTTCTACCGGCGTTATGATTGTCAAGTTTGTTTGCAAGCCGATAGTCCTCGAAAAATGGTTTATCAAATACAATCCCTCTTGGATAAATAAATGTCATTGTTATATTAGTCTCTTTCAACAAGAAAGCAGTTTAGCATGGCCGTGTTATTGACGTCCATTTTTTCCCTAATTCATTATCAGAGACATTTCCTTTTTATGGTCTTCTCTTTTTTTGCTGGCAGAATTTTGATAACCGGAACTTACAATTTTTAGAGATACGTGAATCATTCCTATGGTACTGATATTCCCTAAAGCGGACGTCTTAACTACTGATGTTTTTGTGGTTGTTAACGTTGCTGTTTCTTTTCAGGGGCCTATATTTCACCTACGACTACTATTTCGACAACAGTAGAAACAAAAGCAAGTTCAGGTTTGACCGTTTTTTGATCCAGGGTTATCCTCATTTCACCACAGAAGCTTTATTCATTGAAGTTATTTTCTGTAGGAGGTTGTCGGGTTTGCTGTATAATCCTTGGTGTGCTATTTGGTGTGTCGCTGATTTTCAATGTCATCTTCGTTGGTTTTTTTATTTGGAGGCATTTGACAGGTAAAACACACAAGTTGATAAACTCAATTCAACTCAACAAAAACAAAGCGCTTAGTGACCCTAGGGGCGATTTGATTCGCTCATAGAGAAATCCTTTGAAAATTTTCAAGAAATAATACTTACTTTTGATGTTTTGTACTTCAACAGAAAATAACAGACAGTCGAACGAAAGGTAGTACATGCAATGATTCAAACTCTGCTAATTAGGGGGTGTTTACGTCTAAGGACAAGAAAAAGGACACTATTTCCATACATCACATATGTTTCTAAGTGCGTGATTGCTTCACTTTGGATATATTTTTCTGTTTTGTTTTAGTGAGAACATAATCGGAGTAGGATACATGGTAAGAATCTTTGTTTGTACTTTCTATGACGTCATATATTATATTGGTATCATGTGACGTCATAATGAACACTTTGCTTTTAAGGAACCCTCACAGTCATTTCGGTCTTTTGATTTATTAAGTAATTGGTCGTAATCCGTTCATGGAAGCCTTTTAATAGATTTTTAAAAAATCATAGTTCAATATGGTGTTATTGTCTGGATAGAATCCATTATTCATGAGAGTATGTATACCTTTTTGCTCTTTTAATTACATTAAGATATTTTATTATTACAGGGCAGTCATATTTGCTTTTAAAGTTATTGAAGGGCATTTTTTCTCGTTGAAATCAGTTAAATCAGGCAGCCATTTCCCTATTTTCAACTGGTATATATGTATGTCTTTGTAAATAGTGCATCTGCAAATTCTGTCTTTACTAGAGCTGGTCGTTAACTAATCTGTTGAAACGGAAAAGTTGATTGTATTTCTACCATAGTGAACTGAATATATGTAATTATTCTTCAGAGTACGTTTGCTCTTCAAGAACAACCAACCAGTACTGATGGACAGAATGTGGTGCAGTACGAACATGTTGGCAACGGTAGAGAACAAGAATCTGCTAACACGACCATGTACCATTCAATCAGCCCTCACACAGATACTTACAGCTCACTTAGTCCAAGCACTAAGCTACCTCCTAAGCCTGCAGGCATCACGATCAGTGGTATCTACCAAGACATTCCAGCTACTTCTCAACAGTACCAGTCTCTGGACAGCTTTAACCGAGTCTAGACTGACTTGTTAAGTCAGTTACCTGGCCAAACTTGAAGGATGTACTTCACCTAGGGAGCGAGAAAATTTATTTTTAGTTCTCAATACATTTATTTGTATTTTTCACGCGCGTCCATAGGCTACCCAACTATTGCTAGAGAGAAAGAAAAGAATGAATGCGCACGCTTTTWTATTATGTTATCGAATCAGCGTGCGCTGTGGGTTACCTGTGGTATTACGTCACGATCGCGCGCCTCGCRGGATACAAACTAGTCTGTGACAAGGYATGAAACACTGGTCAYGTGATGGAYCGATGTGTGCACCAGGYAGCTGGGCATAAGATCTGAAACTATTGCGTCATCATCGGAAACCGAGCGGACTTCCAACTCGTGAGATTGTCGAGAACTATCGTGAACCATCGAGACTTTCACGGAGTATTTTCGTAATTCCCGAAGTATGTAGCTTTTACATCACATTTCTTGACGTCCTTTGTGTATAGTTTACAAAACAAAACAAAACATGAGCGAAATTACTCCAAACTTTGAGCAAAGGAAAGCCGTAGACCTGGCTATGTCTGGACACAATGTTTTTCTAAGTGGCAGAGCCGGTACAGGGAAAACTTTCACGGTCAAATACCTCATGAAAATGTTGGAAGTTCGGGAGTTACGAAAATACTCCGTGAAAGTCTCGATGGTTCACGATAGTTCTCGACAATCTCACGAGTCGGAAGTCCGCTCGGTTTCCGATGATGACGCAATAGTTTCAGATCTTATGCCCAGCTGCCTGGTGCACACATCGGTCCACGACGAGTAAAATGCTTAACGTTCATTTTCTCCTCATGTAATRAAAATTTCAGACTAAAAATCATGAGATAGTTGGGAAATCTGGCGATGTATTGTTATTTGAAAGAAAATTGTCGTTTTTTCAGTTTTTCAGCGAAATAGGAGCAAAATTATATTTGTCACGTGACCAGTGTTTCATACCTTGTCACAGACTAGTTTGTATCCCGCGAGGCGCGCGATCGTGACGTAATATACCACAGGTAACCCACCGCTCGCGCCGATTCGATAACATAATATAAAAGCGTGCGCATTCATTCTTTTCTTTCTCTCTAGCAATAGTTGGGTAGCCTATGGCGCGTCACGCGCTGATGACCCCGGAAATTACAAAGAAATGTATGGGGAACTAAAAATGAGTTTACTCGCTCTCTAAATCAAGTACGCCCTTCAAATTCGGCCAGTTAACTTTTTACAGTATCTAACGTTTGCAATATAACTCTTTCCGAATTTGAATTCAGCGGGAATTATTTGACATCGATTTCCCGATCATTCCTTGTTATTTTGCGACACTATGCTTTCCGGACAAGATGGCGGCCAAAACCGTCACCTCATCTCTGCCTAGTAGGCCTCAATGCTCAAAATCTGAAGTAGAAAATGCCTACGAACCTTTGAGGAAAACCAACAAGCCTCATTATGAGCAATTTCGCCGGGCTTAACGTGAATTCTCAATTCTGTTGGTGTCTATACGAATAGCCAGATAATATCAACAACATTCAGTTAATGCTGATATGCCATGCCATTCCAAATACAAACGGTAGACTAATAAATAAATAAATAAATAAAAAATAAATCGACTTTAATGATATATATCGTACGTTTTAATTAAAATTGACCTCTGAGGCCAAGAAAATAAATCCTTTTCCAAAATATTAGATGCCTATAAGATAATTTAAGTCACCTTTTTTTATTGATAAACAAAGTTTCTTCTTCTAATTTGAAATCTTTACCCAGACAAGATACATCTAAAGCTAGAAAGGTCATTCATTCAGTTTCGTAAGCATACTGCTCAAAACTACATTCGATCTRCACATGCGCGTGCTTCTGATGACTAGAAATGCATTCCGATGAGATCACAGATACCACATTTATAAACGAGTGGCTTTTTGATCATMTAAAAGCGCAAGTGGAATTAAATAATAGTGTGTTTACATCTATAACATTTGGACTTCCTGTCAAGTTACGTATTAATACAGTAAACCCAATACCTTAGAGTAATTTTCATTAACCCGTGAAACACACTTTAGCGACTATTACGATCTATTACATTCTAATTATTACACTTTGTTTCACGGGTTTATGAAAACCACTCTATTCGTACTAATTATCGCAAGGCTTCAATATCGCGAAATTATAACCTCGCGAAAAAAGGATACGCGCGAAAATTATACATGCGAAATTTAATAATCTATAATTGCTACAACCTACAACCATTTATTTGATCTAATCTATAATTGCTTTATTCATTTCACTTCTTTACATGAAAATCTTGATTGTAAATCGATTATTTATTAAGTAATCATYCAATAAAATATTTTGCACAATTTGGTGAATAGTGTTTCACGCTTAATTTTCTTGAACGCAATCTAGTAACTATCAGTAGTCTTATCAGAAGTCATTAAAGACAATGCGTACACTGGAGTTACTAAGTATGTACGGTTGTCTCCAGAAGTGGTTCGAACACTCCTCTTCTGACCCTATTGCAAGAAGTCTCCCTTTGAWACATCGAAAAAGGGTTTAGTTTATAAACAAGTTCAAACGCTCGAACTCGAGCCTGCGTTTGAATCGTTACAACACAACACAGA